CCTTCCCACCCTTTTCTTTCCCTCTCTTTTTCCTTCCCACTCTTTGTTCCTTCCCACCCTTTTTCTTTCCCTCCTTTTTTCCTTCCCACCCTTTTCTTTCCCTCCCTCCCTTTTTCCTTCCCTCCATTTCTGCATCACTTGCCCTGCCTCCTTTGCTTGTCCAGCCCAATCCTTTCCTCCCTACATCTACATCTGCAACCTGCCCTTTTAACTTTCAGGTTTACCCTATTCTGGTACAAGACCTATGCTATCTGACCCACAAAAGCGCGATGCCCTCGGTATTTGCAGCAGTCCTTCACTTACCAATTACTGCAATTCAGATTCCTGCCTCATTTGCAGCACTTACTTTTACCTCTTCTTTACAATAGTGATGTGGATACATTTGTGGCCTGTTTACTCACTGCTAGATAATCCTCTGACTCTTAACATTTGGTGTTGATCATTTAGCAGACAGAGGATCCACATATATAGAAATGAATCATCATATGCGCGGACCTAATGGGGTGTTTGTTAAATGTTATATTGATCAGAATAAATAACATAAAAAAGAAATTATTAATTTTCCAAGAAATTTATAGTCAGCTTCATTTGCTTTGTGAATTTCATGAATCCAGAATTTATAACATTTCTAGCATCCAGAGAACTTAAAGTCTTTGTCTATAATAAGTCATCAATATGTACATGTAATAAAAAAATCATCATAGGTTCTAGGAGAGGGAAAGGATATTTTCCTTGAGTTAAAGGAAGCTGTCATAAAAGATTATTTTGATTTGTACTTGAATAAAAGTTATAAATGCTTTGCTATTCCTAAACCCTTGCACCAAAGTTAAACCTACTATCATATATGTGTGGGTGGGTTATTCAGGTGGATCCTACAAGGATTCCAGTGTTTCCTGGTTAGTTGAAATGTAATCTTCAGGGGATTGAACAAGGGACTTCAGGCAGCCTTATGTGATTATGTGATTTTTCTCCCCCATAACTAGAAAGGAAATTTTCTTTAAGCTGGAAAAGGGGTTCAGATGGTTTGGATACAGAAAGGACACCAAATATCTAGAACACAAGCAATGTAGCGAATGAGGTTTGGTAGCTCAAGGCATTTGTGGAAGTGTGTCCCCAGATTGATGCGGGTGCAACACTATAAAACTGTGTCCTAGACTGCACCTGGGGTTTCTGACGACTTGATCTGCCCTTTGAAAAAGCCCATAGCTTTTATTTCAAAACAGCAACATTTTCTCCTTAACTGTTTCTATAAGCAGTTTGCATCAGCAGAACTTTTCAAGTATCTCAGAATGAAGAACTCCACAGCTTTGTAAGGGATCGGAAAAGTCAGCCTCCTGAGAAGATGGATAACTATCCTGCTAGGTGCACTTCGTACAGGTGCACCCTGCTGCCCCAGGGTGCGGGGCATGCATTTTATGAAGAGGGTTGCACAGGGAAGATCCATAAGCAGCTGTAACCTCATCTGCTCCCTGCACAAAACACAGGATTGCTCTCAGTTCTCTGGAAGACAAGTTTGCTGTTATACCTTCTGCTCCAAAACCATGTCACAAGCTGGTAACTTGTCCTCTTCTGTGAGAATTTAGTTTGGTTTTGTCAATCACCAATGTCTTTCTCGTGATTCTTTTCTTACTGCATAAATTTGAAGATAATTACAATCTGTACTTCTATTTTTTGAATTCTTTTATTTTAGAATTTTACGGGTGTACAAATGTTTTGGTGACATGAATTGCTTTTGTACAGTTTGCGTCAAAGTTCTATAAGTGCGCCCACCACCCAGATGATGTGCATTGTACTCATGAGGCATGAATTTACTCTGAATTTCTTTATTATTTCAATGGATTTTAATGAATAGTTCCTAGAAAGTTCACCATGCTCACTTTCAATTTATATTCAAATTTATTCAAAGATAATATCACCCAGTATTATTGGAAAATCCTACATAAATAATAGAACTGACATTTCAGCCCCCATATGATTTGCATAGGTTACAGAAATATTTTTCTGGACATAGTTCCCCTGCTCATCTCAATCTTTGATATATTAATTTTTGCTATTTCTAGAAGTGTTTCTAGTACAATAGACAAAATTTCAGCCACTTCCCCTTTCTAAATAACCATTGAAAAAACATCAACTGAAAATGATGTGGTGTAATCACAGCACCATGAATCATGGAAAACGACTATTTCATGAACTTAAAACTATCTTAATACTCTCACGATCACAATGGTATTTTCCGAGGCAATTTGGAAGGCATCTAAAAATTAAAAGATAATTAAGTAGCAGATTATGATCCATGTATCAACCTGTTCTCATCACGGCAACTTAGACATTGGGACAGAAGTTATGCCTTTTGATTTCTCAACAGTTAAGTAACACCACCTTGTTCTCACCCTAAATGATAAAGGTGAAATATGGTAAACTGGTGCATGGAGCAAACATGGGAGGTCGTAATGTGTTTCCAGTATGTGGCATCTTGCCATTGACCACAGCCTCTTGGAACAAGACAAAGTCATTGAAATAGTTAACAGATGTTAGCCGTACTTGAAATATAAAAGTTCTATTGCTAAAAATTATGGAGGGGTCAGATGGAGATTTGGCTCTTGGTCTATAATTCAACTGACTTGGCAAATGAAGAGTTGAGATCCAGAAGCATAACACGTAATATTGAGGCCACACACTCTGCCGGAGCTCATAAACTACTGACAATGTGTACACCGGGCTAAGCCCACTTGATTAAGTATTAACACAGTATTGGATACTGAGTGAAATCTGAAGTCAATTTTCCTGTCTACTAAATTAAAATGTTATTTCTATGAGAGTGAAAGAGACTTTTTTCCCAGGTTCAAAAGTATGACCACAAACTTCATTATTTGTCTTCGGCCTGCAATTTCCCTGATGACTGGTATTGCTTTCTGTAGACTTCATAATCTATTCAGTTATAATCTTTTTAAAGAGTATCTCTTTCCCCCTCACATTACAGAACAAGTTGACATTAATGATTTTTAGGTGAATATGTATACATAGCTGAAATTGGTCTTCTCAGACTGAAGTCAGAATTCCACCCAAGTCAAATCCCAAAGGAGGCTCGTGCTACTTTAGAGTTTGTGGTTTTATTCACAGCTTTGCAAATAAAGTCACCAGCTTCCATCACTTTGTGAAGATTCACGCCCTAGTTAGGAAAGGGGGAAAAGGAGATTAGAGAGAAAAAAGACACTACCAATCCTCTTTAATTTAAAATTACTAAACAACATGCTGTTCATTATCAATTTGAGGGCAACATTTGTTTTCATGAATCATGTAGTCACCATTTTAAATTTTTCTGCTTTATGAAAACATATCTTGGATCTTCCCCTTACATAGTAACATAGGCTTGACACACCTGAACAATGTAGTGTAGTTTAGGCTGGGACCTAAAGCCTAGGAAAGACAGTATTTGAACTAGAAAACATTTAACAATATCGGTGAAGTGCAATCAAAATGGTGATGCTGTGGAGGAATTTATAGATGAAAACTGACTTAGAAAAACTCCTCTTTAGTATGTAAAAGTGATAAAGCCATGAAGTTTATAGGAAGGCGAATGAATATATATGTCTGTATGCACACGTACATACATTATCTACAAGATGAAAAACACTATTCATAGTATGATGTTGAAGGAGGTAGTAGTAAGTCAGATACAATGAAGTAATATTTAGTGCACATCTGGAACCTGTTTTCCTGAGACGTTGTACTGTCTGAAAGTATAAATAGGATCAACAAAGGCTTAGGTAAATCCACGGATGACAGATATGCAGTTGGGTATGGAGGCCAAGTTCACGGCATGCTCTCAGCCTTGGTGTAACGAAAGGTCACTATCTAACTCTCCACTCCACACTTTGCTATCACAGGAGGAGGCCAGACATTGGATGGGTTAACCCCCAATTTTCCCTTATGTAGCATTTCATAACCTCCAAGTCCTCCCTCAACATGGACTGGAAAAAAATGTGGGCTTAAAACTGCACATACTCAGTCTTCCTTTCAATATCTATGGCAATCTGTTATTTTCTTAAACTATACAAATATAAATACTCCTATGGGTTTTTAATAACTGTAATTATCATTTTAGAAATTAAAGACATTAATATAATTAATCACTTCCCCTTCCAAAAGTTTAGAGTGCCCTTCTCTTTGCAGTTTACTGCTTTCTTTAGGAATGATAAAGAAAAATATTTTGCGAATGACACTTGTAAATGACTTTTTTTTTTTTTTTTTTTGCAGTTTTTGGCTGGGCCTGGGTTTGAACCTGCTACCTCTGGCATATGGGGTTGGCGCCCTACTCCTTTGACTCATAGGCGCCACCTTTATTATACATGGGTCACTATGAAACTTTAGAGACAGACTGTGCTCTGATCCATTATTTCACTTCTAAGAAACCCAGTGGACAACGTCCTTTCTGATTCACCCGGTGTTGCCAGGGAGGCTTTATTTGTCTTTACTGCATGGATTTTATGTTTCTTCATTTTCATGCATCTCAGAACTTAAGTCATGGCCCAAGTAAAGTTACTTTCAGGGTCCTAACATGTGTGCTTTGGCTTGAGAAATTTGATTTTGTCAAGACCATAGTAATAGCTTTGAGGGTAGTAACTGTCAGGCAAATTTTAGTTAACTATTCTTAATTCGAAGCTAATTAAATTTTGTAAGTAACTCGTTTCATGTGTCTTTCATTTCTGAATTACATTCACCAAGGTTTAATGAAAATGTTTTAGTCATTACTGTTCTTCATTTTTAAAGAATTCCATTTGTAACAATTACGCAGAATTCGTTGATGCCAGAGCAAAGAAGAGTTTTGTTTTGGCCTTTCTCCACCATTTTATTTTAATTAACAGAGATGATTATGAAAGAGCACTGCATTTATTTCTGAATCATTTATCAAGTGCTTAAATACACCTCTAGGGTTTTATGAACTTCATGCAGGATGTGGTTTCTGCTTTCAGGGAGCTTATGGTCAAGCAGGAAACATGAAGCTATAAACAGAATGTGTGATACTATAGTTCAAGTCATGAATAGAGATATTCCCAGAAAGGAGAGATGTGGGGCCATGGAGCCATGAAGAAAAAGGGATTAGAAACAAATGTGTCAGGAAACGGTGTCAAGAGAAGTAAATCTTGACCCAAGTTTCAAGGGATTATATGAATCAGTGGTTTTCAATGAGTGTGCCATGTGGCACACTGGTGTGCCCTGAAAGTATCTTGGGTATACCAGAAAAATTTTAAAGATCATCAATTAAATTATTTCAAAAGAAGTTAAAAGCACAATAAGTCTATCTTTTTTCTTTTACACTTTTTTTGGGGATCAACATAATTATTTGTGCTGGAGAAGTTTAACTATAGGGCCAAGTGTACCGTGAGATAAAAAAAGGTTGAGAAAAACTGATATGAGTCATTGAGGACACAGAGAATGTCTAGGCTGCCATAGGTAGGATGAGAGAATAGCAATAAAAGATATCTGAAAAATACTAGGGTATATATGGATAGAAGAGAAAATACCCCCTTTTTACTGGACAAGTTCTAAATAGGACAGATGACGTGAAAGAGCCAGACCCTGCCGTGTAGGAAGTGAGAATCCATTGCTGGGGGCAGAGAAGCAGAGCTTATTCATACTTGTGTTTTAGACAGAATCCTCTGATGGCAGCGTGGAGGATGAATTTAAAAGCAAGTCTGGAGCCAGTCAACCCATGCAGAAAATGAACACCCAGAAAGAGCTAAGAACCTATGTTCAGGGAATCAGAGTGAGGAAGGGACAAACCACCAAAATATTTCAGAAGTCAAAGTCAGTGGCTCTTGCCTATTGATTAAATCTCAGACCCATAGTGATTGGATTCTGCAAAGAATCTTGGTTGGTAGCTTGGTGACTGGTGAATTTGTAGCAGCTGCTCAATGCAGCGATCTTCTTTGCATTGTGAAATTCTTAGGAATAAACTTATTTGTATTTCAACCCCACAGTGATACTGAGCATCAGCTGTCAGTTGAGTTCGATTCAGTTATCTAAATCTTTAAGAAAATATCTATTTTCCTTCAGTTTTTTTCATGGCCTCGTGATGGAAATAATTAAGCTACTTTGCAAATGAAGCAGTATTTATTCTAACCAGAGAAGATAGGTGATGGCTTTTGGTGCTTGTGGGCAACAGCTGGTGGTGTTTAGTGCCACGAGAAAGCTAAATCTGCCTCTCGATAAATATTTATTGAGCATCTTTATGACCCAGACACCAAGTAAAAATAAGCTACAATTATTGCTCTCTGGCTGCATGGGAAGGAAGATACATAAAGAAGATCAGGATACAACCTTGTGGTAAGTTCTGAACTAAAACAGAAGGTAGCCTGGAAGAACCTGACAGTTTGGCCTGGGAAATAGGGAGATTCTCAAAGACGTTTTTTTAGAACGGCAGAGCCTCACTTTCCCGGTGGAGTATGGGCTATTAGGCCATTCCAAGTGGGGGTGAAAGCATGAGCAAAGGTGGGAATGTGGATGAACAATGCAGAAACGGAGACTGCAAGAAAATTCAGTGTCACCAGGAGCACCAACATAAGTACAGTGAGGAAAGAGGAGAGGCAGGGGCCGCAGAGAGGGAAAAATCCATTTTGTAATCCGAATAATGCCTTTACATCTCAGAGAACATTCTGAATGTCTCATAATCTCTGGGCAGTTTTCTTCCCTTTTACATTACATCTCTAAAAAATATGCCCTATAGACTAACACGTTATGCCAATATGCATGGAGCAGAACAAGGGGCTGATTTTGGTGGACATTATTACATGGCTTGTGACTTTTCAGAGACTAATCGTAAAGAGACGATGTTTGACATCCAGAGTCCCACATGCTAAGTATTCTTAAGCTCCACTCTTCCACTGACCATTTTAAAAGGGCCCTGGGATCTTTTCCAGAAGCCTTAGCTGTCACCGTGAGACAATCAAGGTCTCAGTTTCCTCTAAGGAAAACATCCATACAAAAAACAAAGCTGCAAAACTCACTCCACAGTCATCGCAGCAAAGACACAGGCTCAGGCTCACAAAGTGTGTGAAGTCGAATCAGATAATACATAAAGAAGCACTTTGGAGGTCATGAAGCTCCATAAAAATGTTAAAAGGTAGCATTATTGGGGATTCCGCTACAGCAATAAGTTACTTTATAAGCCCCTGAAAGAATTTTTATTGTATTTTCCCACTGTGCATTTTAGCAAATAGCAAAAGTGTAGTAAAACTTTGACCTCGAAATTGCTTCCCACATCTGAGAAGCATTGCAATTTGGAGCTGCAAGGAACGCATGAATATTAAAATATGTTAAAGTAACTTACTGTATTGAGTCCCAGGCCATTAAGCATATATATCAAATCCTCAGTGGCTACATTCCCTGAAGCACCTTTTGCATAAGGGCAACCACCTAATCCAGAAACTGCAGAGTCCACCACGTTAATTCCCATCTGGAAAACAAAGCAAAACAACCAAAGCTTGTGTATTTATGGCAAGTAAATGGTTGCATTTTTATTTAACCTGTGGCAAAGAGCAAATAAGCAAAATCTGACCCTGTTATTCAAATATATTCACTTCCCCACCTGTTGCTGGAGCTGTCCCAGGGGTGTTGATTTCCCTTCTGACTAATCTTGTCTCTTAGGCTAACAGAAACTTTGCTAATGCCCTCCCTCTGGAAGTAGAAAAATCTTTGATCAAAATTAAAGTGGTGTTACTCATTGATAATAGTACAACGGTAGATGGTAGATCTTGAAGTAAGCTTAACTTACTCCCAGGGTTTATATAATCTCCAATTCTCTAGCTTTATCATAAAAGCATCACATAAATGACATGGACTATTTCTAACATCCCAACTAAGAATCAAAGTGCCTTAGAAGATTGGAAGTGGGGTGTTTAGAGACGAGGGTTCACTGTATTTGAAATAAAACCTTGCGGGTTCAATTTACTCATTCAATTTACCAGTGTTTATTGAGCTATTATTTTTTTGCACAATACTCTGCTTTCAAAGAAGTGAAGAGACGTCTAAGAGGCAAGGCCACTGTCAATAACATCAGCTCATATTTATTGGATCGTCACTAAGTTCCAGACATTATTCTTAACATTTTATGTGTATTAACTCACAGCTCTCACAAAAGCCACGAGATAGATACACTTCTCTCATCCTCAATTCACAGAAAGAGAATCTAGGTGCAGAAGTCAAGTAATTTATCTAAGGTCACCCTCTGGTAGGTGGGGTCCTCTGTCTCTAGAGAACGTGTCTTGATTTGTTGCCTCTGGAACAAATTAAGTTGGCACACGACTGGTGCTTGGTGCTCTCAGAGATGGATAAGTTCTGCATGGGCTGGAGAAGCTTTGGAGGACATGAGTGCTAGGTCTGGTGGAAGGTAAACAGAAGTGACTAAGGGAGAGAAAGGGAACTGAACTGTAGCTAGGAATCAAATTGCACCTAGGAACTGTTCCCTGGTGGGAACAGATGCAGAAAGGAGTTCCTGGTGACTGACCTATAACTGATCTACAGCTCATTACCACCTAATTAGCATAGCATGGATGGAGCTTTTACGAGGACTTAAAGGAAAGCTGTTATATAACCCTACTATGTAGCCTGCTATGTATCTCCAACCTGTCAGTCACTCCAAAGGCAGGAAACAACAACCAGCCCTGCCAGGAGAAAGGTGGAACAAACTCGTGAACATTTAAAAGGCAATGCGTGATCAGATGTCAGGGTTTTTCTCCACCAGTGGAGATTGACCTGTTTCTCTCTCTGGAATATATTCTCACTTTGTGACTCATCGTGTAGCTCCCTTCTTCACTGTCACTTAGTCTAGCTTCTTTCTTTTTCCTGTAACAAACTGTGCAGGATGGCTCTCTATCTGTTATCAGCTCAACTTGGCCCCAGCACCCATTCTTGTGACCCTGGGGACCAGAAGACCAGAAACCATTCAGACACACCTAGCATAAGCATAACAGGATCTGAGAAAGGATATCAAATGTTTATAATAGGAGACAGGAGGCTGGCATCCCATGCCCCTGTGAAAGATGACAATTAGGTAATCAGAAGCTGCAGAGAGGACAAATCTGACTCTTTACTCTTGGGCACTGAAGAACAAGTAACACGATCTCATCTAAAATGAGAAGCAACTGGATACAGAGGAATTGGCCAACCAGCTAGGTCAGTGATTCTCATCACAGAACTGGAATCACAAAATGCTTCTACCTCCCCAAATTTCTGATTCAATGGATCTTGCCAAGGTCTCGAGAATGTGCACTTTTAATAAGATCCTGGCTGCTGCTGCTGCTGATGATGATGATTTAAGGGGTCTTTCTTGCTCTTTTTTTCTTTACTTTTATTTGGAAAAAAATGTATTCTAGAATAGTTTTAGATTTTCAGAAGATTTGTGAAGCTAGTACAGAGAGTTATTATATATTACACACTCAGTTTCCTCTCTGGGTAACATCTATTAAAGAAAAAATTATTCAATGATACTTGTTAAAAGTATAGCAAAGAAGACTTTATTCAGGACCACTGTGTTAGTGAAAGCGAACGCTGCAACAAGGTCTTTCAGGGAGGCAGAGAGATGGGGCTCAACTCCAAATGCTGCATAGGCAAGTAGGAAGGATCAGGGTGGTGGTCAGTGGATGGAAATTACTAAAGAAAATCAGTGTAAAAGGAATTCTGGCTTACCTGACCTAACAGGATTTTTGCTGAAGAAAGTCAAGATGATCAGATATCACCTGTGGGTTGGTGGAGACGGAGTGACCTGATCAGCTACGGAGGATGGATGGATATAAAGGATGAAAGTTCTTGCTGAACTGTTGGCAGGAATTACTAGCATTGGATTTTACAAAGAAGTACACAGGCAGACTTAAAAGAAATTTTGGAAGCCTGATTAAATTTTGGCCAAGCAAATTCTTTTTGTTGAATCTTATATTATTTTTGTATATGTATCACAACTGATGAAACTAATAAGCAAATATTGGCATATTTATTATTAACTAAAGTTCATATAGTATTTGAATTTATTTAAACATTTTAAAGGCATTTCTAAAGACAATTTTTAACCTGATGTCTTTTTTTCTGGTCCAGGAACTCCTCAGGACACTATATTTTATTAGTAATCACGTCTTCTTTGGCCCTTCTGGGCTGTGACGATTTCTCAGACTTTGACTATTTTGAGTGATACTGCTCATAAATTTTGTACAATATCCTTAGATTTGGGTTCGTCTAACTTTTTTTTTTCATGATAAGACTGGGGGTGTACAGTTTAGGCAGGAAGAACACAGAGATGAAGTGTCATTGTCAAGGCATCGTATCAATGATACGTACTACCGACATGAATTATGACTGCTGAGATCAACCTTGATTGCCTGAGTGAGGTGATGTTGCTGGGTATCTGTCTTATGAAGCACAACCCCTACCCCCTTTCCATTCTGTACTCTTTGGAAAAAGTCAAAGAGTAAAGAATATCTGTATAAATTATTTGGAATTCTTCTGTATGAGAGATTTGTCCATTCTCCCATGTTATATGTTCATATGTTTATATTAGTAGTGATTCCCAGATATTTATCTATATTTGTTTTACTACTTTGGGATATAATTTAATACTAATGTGTGTGGGTTTTCCTCAAATTGTTCAAGATTTGGCCATTGGGAGCCTTTTCAATGGGCTCCTGTGTCCCTTTGGTATGCCCAGGGGATTGTGCTTTTTGAATCACTTTTCTAGAGTTTCCCTAGCAAGACTTAAGAGAATGCTTTCCAAAGCTCACAGAAAAGAGTTACCATCCTTAAAAAGCCCTGGAATTCTCTAGCACATACCGTAAGTTTACAAAAATTAAGACTGTTTTTGCATCTCTTTCTTCTTATATTTCTCAACATAGAAAGGCCTCAGATCTGACAAACCCCATCATATTCAGATGTTTATACTGTTCAGCTAAAATACTGGTGCATTTACAGCAATTTTTATTTGGCATAAATCAAATTAGTAAGAATAAGGGAGCGTGTACTAGAAGTTAAATTTGTAGCATTGTCTAGTAGTTGTAAAAGGCAAATATTAAGGTACTGGCACATTGTGAGAGTGGGCCATGACATTAAATAGGCAGGGGGTATTCTTGGCTTATACTGTAGTTTAAAACTGATTTATTTAGTAGAGTTGAATCTATTACCTGAGGAGACAGAAATTAGAGTGAGTTTCAATGCTGTCTACCCATCACAATCATTTGAGGCCTTTTAAAAATACTAATACCTATGCTTCTCTTTATACCAGTTAAGTCAGATGTCTGTCTGGAAAGGGGTCAGACATCAGTGTTTCATTAAAGCTCACTGTGGTTATTCTTTGTGCAACCCTGAGGCAAGACTCTTACCTATCTCATTTTTTACTGATTCTGGATATGAGTCAGCCTTAACAATAGCGAAACTCTGTAACCTGGGGCAGTAAAAAGTTAACCATAACATCTGAACATTTCAAAGAAACCAGTTTTTGAAAAAAGACCCCAAAAGGTATGAGGTAGTCAAAGGAACCAGCATGATAGATTGAAAAATGGCTTCAGGCCTCGATGTGCATGATTAACTCTCGGGGGCTGGAATCCACTTATCCAGTTCCCTTTCTTACTGCTGAGGATCAAGACTCTAAAACTACAGAGGTCCCAGAAAGGAACCTTGTCAAAATAATACAGCTTTTAGTCTTAATTAGCCTTTTGGGAAACAGTGAAAAACCAAACAAACTTCACTCTTCTGTTTTGTACTTAAAGGCTAATGTAACTTACTGTTTGGATAAGAGTAAAACTTTTACTTGTATTAAGGTAACCAGTGAGTGCCATAGTAGAGGAACAGTAAATGACCAATGTCACAGTAGAGCAAATACAAATAAACAGTGAATTCAAGAAAATATGTTCAAACTCACAAAGATTGTGAGTGAAAATGAGAATATTATATTTTATACTTTCATATTAACAAAGATGAAAGAAGAATGTTTATAAGTGAAATGCCTATATGCCTCTGGCCAAAACAAGCCGTTTGAGAGAGAGCAGTGAAAAGACTTTGTGCAGGCATAATTGTGAGAAACTGAGGCAGAATCCCATATGGCCAGGTTAGTTGCAGGCCTAACATAACCAAGGCTCTGGCTGGAGAAGCATTTCCAGAGATGCCCAGACTGCATTAAGGAATTAAGGTTGACTTCATAAGGCCGATAAAAAAAGCCCTTTGGAAAACTGGCCAGATACCCATCAGTAACCTTTCCTGACCTGTGGTAAATAATGAAAGTCACTTGCTAACGGGTCCAGGAATGGAAATGTGCTCAGGGACCTCAAGAGAAGAGGAATACCCAATGCATACAGGTATCTAATGGCACAGATGAAACCTGGGCTCATGAAAGGCTTTGAGAAGTCCAGCCTGAAAATTGCTTTTAAAAGGTTCCAGCAAAAAAGGCCTACATGGGAGCAGAGGTTTACACACAAA